GCAATATGCTGACTCTCTGTAAACCGCTTAGAGAGGGCTGAAAGCCCTATGAAGCGGTATATAAGTCTACTGCTATTGCTATTGCTATATTGCTTCTTTCCTTCTCTCTCTTTCTCCTTCCTTCACTCCTCCCTGGTATATCATGCACAGAATATGTTCTAATAAAGTTGTTAAAACATGTTTCTCCATTTCGTATCCACAGAAATATAATATTCTACCTTCTTAATATTTCCCAGGATATTTTTCTAGCAACGGGGGGGTATGTGTGTGTGTGTGTTAACGTGCTACATGCTGATATGCAAATAGCCTTATGATGATGGCGGCCTTGGCTGCTCCCTCCTGGCTCAGAGTTTCATGGGATGGGCCAACCAACCTGGAATTGCTTCCTCTCCGTCCCCTGAAGGCCCCCAACCCATCTGCTCTCCAGGTCTCTTGAGGCCCCATTTACAGCCCCCACCCCTTGGGGAGCTCTTGCTCTGCTTTGGGGCCAAAGGGAGGAGGTGGGCCAAGGAGAAGAGGCTCTGATGGGCAGTCTGGAGGCCTCGTCCCTCCCAAAATACCCCTCCTCTCCATCTTGGTTCCCGGGGCAGGTCTAGGGTGCCTCCCCTCCTCATGGGAGAAGCCCTTCTTGAGGGCCAGTCCCTTCTGTTGCCAGCAGGGGGCGCCAGAGGCCCTCCAGTGGTGGCTGCTGCTTTCCTGCCCGAGTTCCCCGGGGGGGGGTCATCAAACATGGTGCAGCTCCGGTGCTGAGCAATTCCCCCCCCCCCCGGCCAGAGTCCCAGGCGACCTTCAGCCCTGTCAGCATCCTCTGCGGCCTTTGAGCCGCTCCAGGGGACTCGCATGGGGAGCTCCCCCCCTCCCCACCTACAGATCTGGCCGTGTGGGCAGAAACCCCTCGCCTTGTGGGGCTTTAAAAGGGACCGCCTGAACGGCCTCCAGAAGCCCCCTGGGCAGCCAGTGGGGCTCACAGGACTGTGGTTGAACATGGGGGCCCCACAGGCTGCCCAAACTGTACGCGGGATGCCATTGTGGGCCAGACGGAGATTCTCCATCATCCAAGTCATCGTTGCCCCAAAGGTGTTTTTCCCAAATGGCAACTGGACTTTCTTGGTTTTGTTTTGAAGAGGTTTCCCTTCTCATCCCAGAAGCTTCTTCAGTTCTGATTGCATGGAGGGGAATGGAACATGCTCCGTCCCTCACCATTCAGTCAGAACTGAAGAAGCTCCCTGGAGGAGAAGGGAAACGTCTTCAAGGTAAAAACCAAAGAGAGCCCCCCTTCTGGGACTTCCAAATGCTCTTCGTGGGCCGCCTTGTGCAGCGCCTGGAGCTTTGCATTTGGACAGGAAGAACGGAAGGGCAGTCTGGGGGGTGGGGAGGGCCCAGTCTGGGCACTGGTCCATCTGGAAGGGATCCTTTCTGTGTATCCTTTCTTAGCCAAAGTCAAACGTAACCCAACAGAATGACGTTGCTACTGAAAAGTCTGATGCTGCCTTTCGGTACATCAGCGGGACGGAAAGTTCAGGTGGTAGGAAGCAACTGTCGCTCTCCACCCGGATGGGCCGGATCCCCCTGCCGGCCCGCTTTCACAGCCCTTTTTGAACGCTGGTGAGTCCAGGACGGGTCACGTTTAGAGCCAGGCCAGCAAGCCAGAAGAGGAGAATTCGCCGGTGGAAGAGTTTCCCTGCAGAAGCTGTGGGTGCTCCATCCCTGGAGGTCTTCCAGAAGAGACTGGGCAACTGATAGAGTCTCCTGCTCGGCAGAGGGTTGGACTAGAAGACCTCCGAGACCCCTCCCCACCTTGTTGTTCTGTGTTCTGAGATAAATGAGGGTCTGGAAACCAAGCCCTATAAGGAGCAACTAATGGGTATGTTTCTTCTACAGAGTAGAGCGGATGCCCAGGTGCCTGGCTGATTCCTAGCTACAAGAGGAAGCCTTTGAACCCAGAGTCCGAACTCAAAGCCACCGGGAGTCCTAAAGCGTTGAGGTCTGGAGGTGGCTCAGGGTGCCAAGAACTGAGAAAAGGAACTACAGTTTAGAACGAGAAGAGGACACCGATGACCAGGGAGGACGGAAGCTGAAGAAATGACCAGGCTGAGCTCCATTCTTTACATTAGGTTGTAAGCGCTCATAATCTGGCCGGTCTGAATCAACTGGGACAATCACCTCCTTCGAATGACTGTGGATATTTTCCAAAGAAACCGAGCACAAGGATTTCTCCCCCCCCCCCTCTCCCTCTAGGGCTTCCCAGCACGGCTGCCTCCATTGTTCCTGCAGAGGCCACGATGTCCAAATAACAGAACCCTCAACCTGCCCACCTTTCTCCTGACCGGACTTCCTGGTATAGTGGAGAGGAACGTTTGGATGACCTTCTTCCTGTTTCTGCTCTGTGCCTCCACGCTGCTTGGAAACAGCTTCCTCCTCTTTGTCATCAAGACCCACCGGAGCCTCCATGAGCCCATCCACCTCTTCCTCGCCATCCTGGCCTGCTCAGATCTGGGACTCTCCGTCTCCACCTTCCCGACTATGCTGAGTGTTTTAGTGGTTTGACGCTAAGGACATCCGATTGAATGCTTGAATGACCCAAATGTTCTTCATCCATGCCTTCCAAGTGTTGGAGTCTGGCATTCTGGTGGCCATGGCGTTGGGCCGCCTGGTGGCCATCCGTCAGCCACTGAGGTACCGAACGCTCTTCCCAAACACCGTCGTGGCAAAAATAGGAGCGACCGCTGCAGTGAGGTGTATCTCGGTCTGCTTCCCGGTCCCCTTTCTGATGAAGCGCCTGCCCTTCTGCAGGTCCAGGAGACTTTCCCACCCCTACTGTCTCCATCCTGACGTCATGAGGCTGGCCTGTGCAGACATCAAGGTCAACATCCTCTATGGTTTCAGTCTTCTGCTTCTGACGTTGGGGTTTGATGTGGCCATCATCCTCGCCTCCTACATGGTGATTTTGGAGACGGTTCTCGGCTTTGCATCCTGCCAAGGACGCCTCAAGGCTTTGTGCCATCCTCATTTGTTACGTCCCCATGATCAGCGTCAGTCTGCTCCACCAGTAGGGGAAGCCCTTCTCCCCCCTGGTCCACAGGCTGATGGCCAACGTCTACACGGCAGTCCCTCCGCTCCTGAAGCCCCTCGTGTACAGCATGAAGGCCCAGCAGATTCGGCAGAGAATGTAGGGCGTTTTTCCAAAGAAGCAACGCAGGATTTTATGCTGGGAAATTCTGGGAATAAGAAAAAAGGACCTGGATTGCTCTGAAGCTAAAAGGTTAAAAGGAGGACCAGAATGCTAAAATAAAGCATTTCTGGAGAAGGCTGCGGAAACTCACCTGTCGCAACCAACATTTCTTTCCTACACGAGAGTCTGATGGAGAAACTACCCACAACATTGGGGAAGAAGCTTGGAGTTCTCTTCTCCCTCCCCCGCCTCCTCTCAGCTTTTGGGGAGCCAAACCAGCCTTGAATCAATTCCCCTGATTTGCTGTGGGGTTTGGTTTGGTCTGGCAGCCCATTTGAGGTCGACTGAATGTTTTGGTCGCCACGATGTAGAAAAGACGTGGAGACTCTAGAAAGAGTGCAGAGAAGAGCAACAAAGAGGATTAGGGGACTGGAGGCTAAAACATATAAAGAATGGTTGCAGGAACTGGGTAGGTTTATAGTCTGGCAAAGGGAAGGACCAGGGGAGACAGGACGGCTGCCTTCCAACATTTGGGGGGGCTGTCCCAGAGAAGAGGGGAGGGGGGGTCAACCTATTCTCCAGAGCACCGGAAGTCAGGACACGAAGTGATGGACAGAAACTAATCACGGAGTCATCCCACGCGGAAGTAAGAAGAAGCTTCCTGACAGCTGGAACCATCAACCGGTGGAACAGCTTCCCTCCTGGAGTCTTGGGGGCTTCTTGGGGGCTCCATCACTGGAGGTTTTCAAAAAGAAATTGGACCACCATTTGGGTTTCCTGCCTGAGCAGCAGTTGGACTAAAGTCCCTTCCAACGCTCTTCTTCTGTTTATTATCAGGGGATGGAAAACAGCTGGACTTCCTTAGCTGCAGAGGTGGGTGAGCCCTGGGCTTGGAAGGGGCTCCGTAGGGCAGCCATGGGACCCAATCCCTGCTAGGGGGGGGTGCAAATTAAAGCCTCCAGGCAGGGGAGCCCCCACCTGGGAGCGGAGGAGGACTTACATGCCATCCCTCCAGAGAGCTGCTGCCCCTCCTAAGTGGGGCCGCCAGGGATCTCCCCGCCACCTCTGCATCTCCTCTGCCCCTCTTTCCTCCAAGACTGGCCTTCCAGGGGGGCTCACCCCCCCCCCGCCTCTTCCCTTGAGCCTGCCTTCCCCAGGAAGCCCCAAGAAGAGGAGCCCAGCCGCCCTCCCTGTTCACATTATTTCCCTTTATTTATAGAAAAAGAAGCCTCTTCCTTTCTCCTTACAAGGCCTTCAGCCCATCCGTCCTGGGCTTTAAAAATAGCAGCAGCAGCAGCAGCCGCGCATCGGCCTCTGCTGACTGCAGGGGAATCTCTCCCGGGAGATGCCCAGGGCCCGTCCAGGGGCAGGCAGGGAGGGAAGGGGCCACACAGGACGGCCTCCAACGCTGGGCATTAGCAGCATGCCTCATGGGGGGCCAAGGGCAGCTGGCAGGGGGGGGGGAGGCGGAAAGACTGGGGTGAGTCAAGATAGCAGCCAAAAACGCCCCCCACACACACACAGACACCTGGCAGGGATGGTGAGGAAGGACAGTCCAATGAGGGGGGGTCTGTCTGGAGCCCCCCTGCCTTGGCTGGGAATGCTGAGTTCTGCACCCACCGGCAGGGCTGAGAGGTCAAAGGGGGACCCCCCCCTCCTTACTCTCCCTCCTCCCTCCCTCCCTCTTACTCCCAAGGAAGCCCAGGGATTTCTGGGTCACCAACAAAATTACTCCATGGTGAGTTTCCCCTGGGAACCTCCCTCCTTCTGGTCAGCCACTCTGGCCTCCAACCAACTGCCATGGCCGGGGGGGGGGGAGGGGGGCTGGACAGGGGCGTCTCCAAAGGGGGAAGGAGCACGAGGGAAGCCTGTGTCTTCTACAGTGTTGATGAGATGGGGCTTTGGGCTGCCTCGGGGGCAACTGCACCACACACACACACACACACACACACACACACACAGAGTTGTGTTTTCTCGCACTAGGCTTCCGTGCCCTTCCTCAGGGTCTCCTGGTGGTGGGAGATGCCTCCACAGCCTTCCCACTCAGTCTCCCAAAGCTGCTTTTCCAAAGGCAATTGGCCTTTCTCGGGTTTTTTTTTCTCAAAAACTGTTTCCTTCCTCTCACCCAAGGAGCTTCCTCAGTTCTGGCTGGATGGAAGCCCAGCTGCCTCTGGGGACAATCCTGACCTGGACGGCTGAGGATCTCAAGGTTGGGGAGTTGGGTTTCAACCTGAAACCAAGGAGAAGTTTCCGGGTAGAACAATGAACCAGTGGGGGGGGGGGGGCTTCCCGTGCAGAAGTCGTGGGAGCTTCATCACTGGAGGTTTTGAAGAAGGAAACTCCCGGGGAAATCCTCTTCCTGGGCTTGGGAATTGCGTCCCTCTTGAGGCAGACTCAGCATCCCCCATCGGATCCCTACGGTAGCCCTGGATGTGCGTCTCCTTCCCTGGGCCCTGCCCTTCTGGGGTGGGGCCTTCCCAGCAGGGACAATTGGTCCCGAGGGGGCTGAGCCTGAGAAAGCGCCATCCAGGCATCCTTGCCTGGTTCCCAGCTGGCAGAAAGCCCCCTCGGCTCTTCCAGAGAAACAGCCGGCCTCCTGTGGGGCAGCTGGGAAGGGTCTTCCGCAGGAGAAGAGCCGGGTGGGGCCGGGGGTCTTCCCAGGGGAGCCACGGGAGAGCTTGGAGGCTCAGGGGGCCTTCATGGAGGATGTGTGTTGAAGGCACCAGAGAAGGAAGGAGGGAAGGAAGAAAGGAAGGAAGGGACTCACTGGGGGACTTAATTCACCAAATCTGCGCCAGGAGAGACAGAGGAAATGATATCACAAGGTAAGCGGCACATATTTAACAAAAGGTTCAGTTCTGCAAGTTTGCTGGGGGGGGTGTTTGTGTGTGTGTGTGTGTGTGTGTGTGAGAGAGAGAGAGAGA